TGATCTCAGAGGTCTTTTCTGGCCTCAACAACTCTGTGATTCTGTGACATGCTACAGTTCAAATCCCTGGTACTAAGAGAGAATTATACTGCATCTGTTCTTGAAACCAAATGTTTCAAATCACTTCCACACAAAATTTATCCAAACACAGTGTTCTTTTTATTGTATATTAATATATCAAACAATTTAGAACTGACATTAAAATATTAAAATATTTTACAGACTTATTTTTTTTGTTTTAAACATTCCATTTTAAGACAGTAATTCCAGCCTGAGATCTGTCAGGAGGGTTAGTTACCGATCCTATAATGTCTGTTCTTTATACTTCATGTGAGGGGACAGCAAATGAGGATCAAATGCAAAGAAAAAGTAGCAGCAGTGAGTTAGGGATAGTTTGTTACAATTTTTGTATCATCACTGAAATGATCTACCAAAAAAAAACCCAAAACAAACAAACAAAAATAAGCACTCTGAAAACATTAGATTAGTGCACTTCAAAAATCACTATTACATAAGAAACAGTAGAAAGACATGAAGCATTAAAGCATCCTACACATTTTGAACAGCCACAGAAGACCATATGTTTTAATTTCCAAAAATATTTAATGGCTAGCTAGCCAAAAAAATTCAATAAAATCCTCTTTAGTTGCAATATAAATTTAAAAGCCAATATCAAAGGGTTTTATTATATGAATATTTTATTACCTAGATTTTACAACTGACCAGAATGCACAGATTTGGCTTAGTATTAAAGTAACCAGAGAAACTTACCTCGGTTATTTACTTTCTTTATAGCCTGCATTTCCTGATGGTTCAATTAAAAAAAAATCATTCTGTTTTTTCCTAATATTTCAAGGAAAAATGAACTTTTGCCTTTTTATTAGCACTCTAGCAAGAGCTCATTCTTGGGCAAAATGATCTCTTAAGTCAGTGAAATACCATTTGGCCTTTAGACTATGTGCTGAAACAAGCGAGTCAAAGGCACGTAAGAAAAAAAGAAAATGTGTAAAGACTTTAAAATACACATGTGAAAAGGGTCTGCAATATGACAGATTAAAAGTACATCTGACATTTATTACTGTATAGTGAAAGCAGATTGTTTCACATTTCCCTTTGGATCAGTCATGATCATTTATGCTTCCATTTGCCTTTATATTCTGTTCTTGGTACTTGTGAAGCTGCTCCATGAAGCCAGGATTTGGACAAGCCACAGGCCTCGCATTTTTCACCAAGGAAAAGGCTGTAGCGAAACTCAGTCTTTCTGAATTCATTAGAAAACCAATGACTATCGCTGCTGCACGGGAGACTCCTGCATTACAGTGGACCAGTACCACGCCATCCTTCAAGAAAAAAACAACCGTTAAGTTAGGATATGCAAGGAGATAGCAACAAATATTAGAAACTTTTAGTAAGTCTTAATAGATTTTTGTATAAAGATTCTTGCTGAGCTCAAACATAGAAGTAACTCCAAACACAGGCAGATAAGTCCAAAATAAAGTATTTTTCTAACCAAATAGACTTTATAATTATTAAATACTTCAAACCTAATTAATACCTTAGAACTAAAAAAAATATTCCTCTGCCCGTTTCCCCAAGACGTTGCAGTAGCCCCCTCCTGTAAAAACCAAATCGCAGACACTTGGGATACCAAGATATCTGATCTAATTGGGTGCCAATTTTAAAATAGCTTTTATTTACAACATGGAAAGAAACCTGACTGTTATCTTGTTACCAGGTTAAAATCATATCAAGGCAGCAAACAGCTACGCAGAGAAGCAAATTTCAGAACATCTTGTAGTTTCAGTTGCACGTTTCTTGCCTACTCTGGAGTTCTTCAGTGAAGATTCTGGGTAAGCAGGATCATGCATAGGAACAGAAAAATCAGAAAAGATCGGGTGATTTGCAACAAATCTCTACATCCCCATCATGCCACTGGTAAAACTGCAATGGCTGGTACAACTAAGGTCCTTTAAGTCGGGACTAAGATGCAAAATCCAAAACTACTGAACCTTCCATAAATTCAGAAATGTTTCTCCTGGTGGTTACATTCAGGCTTGTCCTGAATTATCTATAAAATTAATGGTTTTATCCTACTTAAACCTTTCCCACACAATCTTTGAGACACCTGAATGATTAAAAAGACACTGCAAGTTCCATTAAGAAGTAACAGGCACGTGTGAACACAAAGACAACTAGACAATCTAGCCCAGCCTAGGCAACGTTTGCAAGGCCCAGGCTTCGTGATGTTGTCGTGTTTGTATGTCAGGCTATGACCTGGAAAAGGCTTGGTCCAAACTGTCTGCCAAATGCCTCTTTTACAAAACAAACACACACAAACCACTAGCATCTCCATATTCCAAATAAAAATACTGAAACACGATGCAACATGCTCAGATACTTGAGTCTAAACAAATATATTCTAGATATGAACAGCCTGCTCCGTCTGCTCTGAACAGGCAGAAATTATTCAATGGGCATTTTACTCAGAGGAAGAAAAGACCTTATAACCACTAGGATTCCCTTCCAGGAACCTGATGGCTTATGCTGCAGACCTGGGGAGCTGCAATTATGTTGTATATTAATAAACATATCGAGCAGAAAATGATTCCTGCTCCAAAAATCTTTCAGCTTAAACAATAAGACAAAGGAGTATGAAATTGAGAGTTATTATCCTCGTTAAAGAAATGCCAAGCCAAGAGGAGAAGAATGACTTGCTCAAGTTAACACAACAAGATTATGGCAGAGCTAGGAACTGAATCTAAGCTCCTGCCTCCCAGCACAACGAATCACAATAGCAGCCTTTATTTGCAAGGGAAATCACATCCCCATTGTATTGCCTGCTCGAAATTGTTATCTTCATTCCTTTTCTCAAGTTCACAGGGGCATGCTTCCTGGTCACAGAGACTACAGCAGAGTGGAAAGCTACCTGAGGAAGTGCCAGTGATGAGCTCCAAATCCACCATCTCCTTTACAATAATGACATTAGAATTATAACATTTAAAATTATATTTATGCCACTGCTAATGAAGCAATTGCTGAAGCTTATCTGCTGCAGATCTGGAGTAGTTTTACTGATTTAGTGGAAATTATTTCAGACATAATGTACCATAATCAAGATCAGTATCCAGCAGTGACACTGAGGCTGTTAACAAATTAAGCATTGAAAGTGATCCTCTTTCTTTCCTTTGTACTGTTTTTTTTAAATGACTGTTCTGTTGTACACTGCCAAAAATTATATAGTGATATCCTGAAAAATCTCTGAACATGAATGAACATGGGCAATAACATAACCCAGATTTAATACATTTATCTTTCCTTGCTAAACCCTGTTTTTTCTTTATATAAAGATGAATTTGGCATTTAATTCTTAACCAATTTTGTATTGGATATGAATACAGAATAAAAGTGAGACACAGATGGCAGACAAGAATTTAGTCTCTACCAAGAACTCCTTGCTCTGATCCTGATAACCTAACCTTTGCCTACCCAGACACACTACATGGCCTTGCAAACTTAAGATTCAAGACCAAGTTGTTTTTTTAAAATTTTAATAGAGACAAGCAAAATCACCTTCCACCAAGAGGAAAGCTGATTATACAGTGGTTATACATAGTGGGTAAAAAAGCCTTGACGAGGAAAGAAATTAGCAAGTAAAGAGCCATAAGCTAATGGAGTTCCTTAGCGATCCACTTTGCAGTGGTGCCCAGGCTTTTTCTCTTGGAGGGACAGAGAGAGCAATAAGGAGAGATGTTCATGAATGAGCTAAGACTTCCTCCCTGGAAAGACAAGATTTTACAATGAGATATTCAACAGAAAGATAAAAAAGTACCCCTCGTTCATAGCACTATGATCTGACATGGGTCACCTGAAGTGTCATGGAAAATCTTCCTGCCAGTCTGGAACCTTAAAGAAAAGGTGAGCTCTGATGGGTATCAGAATTTGTGCCATGGCATCTACAGACTTGAGCAGTTACAGTTTTAGAAAACTCAGTCCTGTACCAGCTGGCAGTGACTTACCGAATATCACACGTTTTACTTACATTCTCCAATTCAAGTGTCCTCATACTTCTTCATTACATTAACCATATCCTAGTAATAATTTCTCATATATCATGCTCATATATCATACCAGTGAACATCTCTCCCTTCTCCATATTAGATGAAACAGTTGTATCTCTTAGTGATTACTTGAACAGAAGAGCACTTCATGATATAATTTATCACGAGCTCTTTTAACACTATTTTGACAAAGTGATTCAAGCCATCCAGGGATCTGTCTCCGCATACTATCACATGCTTCATTAACTGATCCTGGAGAACATCTATTCCATCACTTATCTGCGCCGTCACCCAGCCCTCCCATTGCAAAACTATTAATACTGCTGTAAAATTTCTTAAAAATCCTTAGCATGCAAAACAGCAGCTGGAACATAAACAACAGAGGCAGAAAGCAACACTATGCAGTTATAAATGGCAACTGTCATTTAGAAATGAGGTGGAAACCGTAACTAGAAACCTTGAAAAGGTCACTAAGTGACAACACGTATCACGTAGCTTCTAAATGATAAATGAGAGAAGGAAAGAACATGTGTGGCACAAAGAAAGCTGGGGCAAGATTATCTTCTTCTATCTTAATTTACGTAAATAACGGATATGGTGGAATAACACGCAATGAGGTTTGGTTGTCAAGTCATAGTTTTGATACCAAAGCAATGGTGGTCATAAATGACACCGTAAGCCGGAAATTAAGAAATATAGGTCACGGATAGTCTTGGTTACAGACAAGCCTGCTGAGCAACCTCAGGAGTCCCTTCACCCTATTTCCTGTGTCCTGTCTTTTTCGTGATTCTGTTAGCAGTTAAATCACTATCTGGCTTCAAGACTACTAACACATCCTCTGACAGTCCTGAAACACGACTGTATGTGGGTTTATAGCACGGTGTGCTGCATTGTCAGTGGGTCATCAAGAAAAAGCACTAGGATAGTGGACAGCTGCTGACAAACCACACAGAGCTGTAAAAGCACTGTTAGGCTTTCTGCTAATCCACAACAGCATCCTGATGGATAAATAATAGAAAATAAAGAAGTTTCCCTCTGTTCAGATGTAGTGAGTTGGCCTTACAATGGAATTTCTTTATGTAAAGTAACCACTGTTCCAACAGTATTAAAGAAGTACTTCTCTAAAACATGCAAGGCAATTATTCTAAAAAGGGCATAATGGAGGGAGTTGGGAATAACAGCAGTGCCATATCTCCAGGAATGCTTAGAAAGTGCTTGGATTCTCTATTTAAAATTTAAAGAGGCAATGGCAAAGCTACACATTTGGTACCATACTTTCTTTTGACAAAAGATGTTGCTTTAGATTTTAAATAGGGTAATAAATAATCTAAACAAGATAACTAGCAGCATTAATTATTCATATACTGTACCTGGGTCTTGGCTTTCTCAATAAATTCAAAACATTCTGGGAAATAAGATGTAATGTCAGTTTCTGGGAGGTCCAGAATAGAAATGGTCTTGTATACAAAGTCATTGAGGAAGGCATTTTGGACTCCATATGCCACATTTAGAACATGAGTGACCTAAGTCAAAAAGGAAAGGAAAAAAAAAAAAAAAAAAAGAGGCACTTTCTGAAAACACCAAGCAAAAAGAGCAGAGGTGCGTTATTCTTTAGGCATACAGAGATTGCAACTTACACGACTGCATTGTTCAGTTTTACATACATACATACATTCTCTATGGTGTGCCTTCTCCAAGCAAAGTCTTACAGCTGCATTAAAATATACTATGATAAAATTCAGGTTACTTTTTTTTAAAAAAAAAAAGAGGAAATTACAAGATCTGCTCAACCAAGCACAGGCTAAGTTGAGAATTTTCAACAGAAGAAGGAAGTGTCAGTACACAGATGGAAAATAAAAGAGAAAGCAATGAGAATGAGAGCACAGACCACCCAACAATCCCCCTAATTTCAAGCCTGCCCTAACCTCTCAGCTTAATGTTCTTTCTGCTGAGATCCCAAGCACCACTTGCTGGAGCAGAAGGATTTCAGAGTAACTATACCTGCACTCAGCAGGCGAGACAACCTCTGTTCAGGCTACGGCCAGTTTGTGGGTTATTTTAACTTACAGCAAAGTGACACTCAGACGGCACCAGATGCCAGACTGGTGCACTCCCTGTCCTGCAGAAGCACCACTGTCCGAAGGCCTTATCAGCCCATTACTGTAACAGAGAAGAATAAAAAGACCAAAGTTTGGGACAGACTTAGAGCTGCTCCTTTCTCTTTCTTGTTTCACCAGTCCCCATAAGGGAAGGAGGCCAGATGCTGCTTAGTGTCCCAACCGTGTATGGCAATACAAGAACCCGTTTCAGAAAATGGCCCTAAACAATCGTTAATCTTGCAGCAAAGTATTTTTGGCTTCTAGAGAAGCTCATGGGCATCCACTCATCTGCAAATGGAGCAGCCTTTTAAAAGTGCAAATGTAATATGATTTTTGTCGAAGTTACTGGAGGACATTTCAGACTTTTTAACTTTAAAAGCCAAAAAAGAAATCCAGTAGGCGAGACAGGCTTTCACCTCCACATAACGTTACCTTATGCTTTTTCATTGTCTCCAGGTCGTGAGCAGCATCCTGCGACCCTGCAAGAAGCCTGCCCCGCTTACCCCTCCCTTCCCGGGGCTGCCAGCTCCCAGCCCCCTTCCCCCGCGGCAAACTCCGTTTCGGCGGCAGGATCCGCGGCCCTACCGGGCGCTGCCGCCTTCCCCCGGTCCCACTCACCCAGCAGCAACCAGGGCTTCACGACGCCGACCTGGAGGTCGGCACTGAG